AGTAACTAAACTGTATTTGGGTCTAAAAAAATATGAAATTCTGAGCAGACTAAAGACACAACCTACCTCATTGAAATCTTGATTTAAAAGAAAGAAATGATGCTAGGTACATTAGAAAAACTTAGAAAACCACTAGGGGGACATTCTGAGCTTATGATTGGTTATTCATGTCATATATATGTAAGCATTTATAAAGGAGCATTTCCAAAAATGGAAGGAGGTGAGCAGGATGCCACTATGTTTATTTATTACGTGAGCAATATCTCAGCAAATAGAAAATATAAGACCTTCTTATTTTAGATTCTAGCTTGTCAATATCTGTAATTTGAGTTTCTAATTCATATGAAACTACAGACTTAGTATTTTGATTTCACAAACATATAATTTGAACCAATGCTGCATTCAACATACCATGAGACACACAAAAATCGATGTTTATCTGTGTTTTTTTAATATTTACTTTTAAATTAACAAATTGAGTAATTTATAGTTCTAAAATTTGAACTACAATCTACAGTTTGAATACAAACTTATTGACATGGCCTCGTATCGAAAGGGTTAATCACTTTTGGATGAAAAAGAAAGATATCTGCCAAAAAATTTTGTTTGATAACGAATGAAGAATGAGCAATCAAGATATACGAATACCAGGAAGTTGTAAGTGTGTAATATGTGAGTAGATCATGCTTGGTTGTTTTCTAATTATTATTTTTTTTATTTATGGTTTTTAGGAAACCCATCAAAAACATAAAAACATTCAGTACCCATTGAACCTACACGTCATGGAGTCCTACAAGGTCACATGCCACATTGCCAAACTAGAACAATGGAGCTATGTCAGGGTTTTGCGGGTACTATACCCAAATAACAGCACCAGGTATTAAGACTATACAATACTAGCAGAGGAAATCAAAGCCAAACTGGTGTGTTGCAGTGTCCCTTACACCACAAAATCTCCAGAATCCTCTTCCTCCCCTTCACAGTTTCCCTTGCACAGCAAAAATGTGGAAGGATGTTTGTATTGCAAAGAAGGTAAACTGTATAGACAGAATCTTCTTTGGAAGGTCTCCTTACCATGTACAGGAACCCATGTGTAGGAAAAGTTAAAAAGAACAAAACAGTAATGTTTTAAATATGACTAACTACAGCATTCTAATATTTAAATTTTATGGATCTTTCTACAAAATGGCCCTTTAGTAATTTTCTAGGTTTCAACATTTTCCTTACTTAAAGATGTATTTCACATCTCTGTTTACCTCTCTGCACCACTACAAATTATTACTTCATGAACAACTGTCTTGGAATTTTTTACGTATGTTACAAGCCTTGAACATGTTCCAACTCTTACATGTCTACATGTATTGCTCCAGCTTATGACATAACCATCATAATGTTGTAACCCTCCACCAAAAGCAGGTGAACACAGCATCCATTCACAGTAATCACAGTGAGAGCAAGCATATGATCATAGACTCCTTCTTGATAAGGCAAACGAAATGCACTAGAAGTGAAAAGAAAGATGGGGGGTAGTACAAAGCAATATCTATCTACCTGAAACACATTTTTTTAGATGTGGAAGACGATAACTTCAGAAACATTACTTATCACTCTGTACCACTAAAAGCTAGTATCCTACAATGATGATGGTATAGGGACTGGTGATATTTAGTTACAAAGAAGAGAACCTTTATAAAACAGCAACAGAAAGGGAAAGGTTATGGGATGAGACTAGGAGTTGCTTAGTGGAGCAGCAACCAGTGGGAGACTGCATCCTTCTAAAAAAGGTAATATCAAATGCGTTTTTAATGATAAATTACTGTGAAAGTATAAAGATATCAAGAAAATTTAGTGATGGTTGTTACATGTTTCTAAAGTGGGTGGAACTTTAAGATGCATAGTGTGGCTACAGCTTTAGGCCATTCCATTTTGGTCAGATACTTACATCAGACAATAAAACAACAGAGGGAAATAGAAGGAACCCTCAGCTATATCTGAAGGCACATCTAAGCTTCATCTGGCTGGACATATCCACTGAGATTTGCTTGATAAATATTGTAGAGAGGTGTTATGTACTACACTTTCACATAACACCCCAGTCCTATTTCTCAAATGAATGGTGGGTCCAACTGGTCTCTTACCGAAGGAAAGGAACCCTTGCAGAGAAAACTGTCAATATTGACTTCCCTAACAGCTTGGGACTGGAGAGGTTAGGGTTCTTTTGTGCTCCACCATAAGAATGAAGAGGGGAAGGGGGGATTTCATAGGGTAGGACAACTGTGAGTGTCATGGACCACTGTCATCAAGCAAAATCATTTGGAATTGAGCCAACACAAAGAAACAGTGTAATGGGTTACCATGATTAAAGATAGTAAAGAAGAGCCAAATTTAAGTGCAGAATTACATTTGGTTCTGTCTGGTTTTTTCTTTGTACAAGGTGTAGAAATGGCCAGGTAAAATAAAGCGTAAGTGCAGTCTTGCAGAAAACCCCACCTCAATGGTAGGTACAATGAGCAAGGGCAGATGAGTTTAATACTTTCTATCTTCCCATGCTTGATGCAAATTTTGGGTAAACACTTCCTGTCAGATAATGCTGACCATCTGGTGGGATCAAATGACACCAAACACAAGGAATGTATAGTTCCACATCTTAAGTGGATGACTAATTTGGGGTTTTTTTCCCCTCCCTTTGGTAACATAATGGGTGATTAAACAGAAAATTCTACACATTTATATTGTGTAAAATAACAGCTGATTAAATACAGAAATACTACATATTTTTTATTAAGTAACATAATGGCTGATCTAGCAAGACTACAACACATTCACATCAAGCACAACATAATAGCTGATTTAATTCAGAATTATATTCATTACAATTATGTACAATATATGTATAACAGTCTTTTCCAACACAGAATATTTATAAACATTTACCACAATGATTTGTTCAGATTGTTCAGAGGGTTAAGTATGTTAGGTTAATATGATATTGGATAGATAAATTAGTAAGTCATGTTACAACCATAGATATAAAAGTTGTGGTGGAGCAACATGCATCAGAACTACATTTTGACATTGTTTAGCATTTTATAGATAGTGTGATGCAACTGAAAATTGATCACATTTCGAAATTATGTACAACAGTTCTTTTGACAGAAAATATTCATAAACATAGACTATAAAGATTTGTTCAGATTGAAAACAAAGAAATATGAATCAATCAATTGAGGATGGGATGGAGGCTTGTGATCTGAGGGTTTCAGCTTCAACTACTACTAAATTTGTTTGCCCTCACACTGTCTTTGTTATTGCAAAGTTAAAAAACTATCAGTCACTACTTTGAACAGCTGCCTAGAGGGGTGGCAACTGGCTGGCTGAACCCACTGCCATCACATAGACTATAAAGATTTGTTCAGATTGAAAACAAAGAAATATGGATCATTCTGGGGACCCAGAACTAGGTGTTGTAATCAATTACCTATGAGCACCAATTACATTGACTAGTGTTGTATAACTAACTGATTAATTAAAACTACACAACTGAGGATGGGGTGGGAACTTGAGATCTAAGAGTTTTGGTTTCAGCTCCAATTGCCACTAAATTTGTTCATCCTCATACTTTGTTAATGCAAAATTACAAAAACCATCAGTCACTGTCACTACTTTTGAACAGCTGCTTAGATTGATGACAACTGGCTGGCAGAACCCACTGTAAACTCTTCAGTTGCTTAAGTGTCAAATAAAGTGTAAATTAACTCTTTTTTTTTACCTAGTGTTGTATATCAAAGTTACATCTGTGTAACTGTATTCTTTAATGTTATATAAAAAGTTGTGGACCTAGACCCCTATCCATCCATTTTTCTTTCAGAAAATCAATGTGAAATTACTAGCAAGTTAAGAAACAAACCCAATTTTGACTGAATGGTATTTTTTATTGCACATTAGGGATTCATTTTCCAAGTATGGAATATTTTTTAGATAGCACATTTTTCACAAAATGCATAAATGACATTCTTCATATGAAATGAAGGACAATGAAAAAGTTACAAATCAAATGTAACCACTTAATGAACCCATTGCTTTATAGATTAGCAAACACCCTAATTACCCAGCTATAAGCAGTACTACCCAGGCAGACCTGCAACAAACCGTGGTACTCGTAGCAAGGCATCTTGTAACAGATTAGAATCCATGAAGACGAAGCTAAGTGCCAAAACCCATACATGTGCTTCAGGCAACATTACACAACAAAATCAAGATCCTTGCTGGAAAAGCAACACAACTCATGCACACAAATTGCTTCCCTAACATATCCATTCAACTGTTGCATACCTCCAGCAGCAGAAGAATGAAATATGTATTTATGCTATTTCATTCAAAGACATATTGGTCAAGTCACCAGATGCAGTGCTTACATAATTTGTCTGATTGAATTGTCGCAATTGGGTGCTGGTGAATTGTCACTCTGGTAAATTAGATGGATTATGGGTGGAATGCATGATGGATCATTGCAATGTTACAATGGAGTTTTTCACAGTGGAAACTCATCTGCTGTAGTGAAGAAGCACTGCTATCAGACAGAGCATCACCAATTATGGAATGAAATGATGAAGTAGGGCTCCTAAGTAGGATTCATATAATGTACTAAACAACTGTAAATATTATGGCTGATTCATCACAGAATAAGTTTTACAGTCATAAGAAAAATCCAAAATTTTAGGATATTGTATTATACATCTAATGAGGTTTTCATAAGTAATTAGTAGAAAGTGTAGAGTAAGTGGTATGGAAATGTCTGTGGAACAGCAATATTACTGCAGCAAGAAGAAAAACTGTAATGAGTATATTCACAATAATGTGGAAAACTTGTAGTAAATGTCTTCTGCTTGCAACTAATTACTAATTAGATTCCACATAAACAAAGTCCATAAAGACACAACTACAGCTACATTTTCTCTTTAATAATAACACAACTATAAAAGATTAAATCAACAAATTACCTCACTTTTCTCAAATGCATCATCACACTTTTCCTGTTGGTCTTCTTTTGCTATACCAAACTTCAAAATGATTTGTTTGGAACTTTCTTCCAAGGAATTAGCTTCTCCTGTAGCTAGAAGAACAAATAATGTAGGTCTGTCTATAACAAGACTCAATAACATACTTCACTAAATTATAATAAACATCCATATGATGTATTTAGCTGAACAGGCCCTTTCTATAATTTCTTTAATGATATACAAGTACATTGTGTAGAATAAATTTTCAGCAAAGAACAGGTTCTGAAAATATACCTGAACTGCCATGCACATGTTAGTTGTAGTCCCAAATGGTGGTTATTGAGGTAGTCAGGGTAAGAAACCAAAGCATATTCCATATCTTGTAGCAGAAAGTTCTCAATGGAGAAGAACAGTAATTATATAAAGAGTAGAAACACTCCTGGACTTAAAATACCCTTCATCCTAATTTAAATCTAGCAAATTCATGTAAGTGGTCAAGTCAGCAGGTACCCAGGAAGAATCAAAATGAGCCAGGTGGTTCTTAAAATGTACAAGTCACTGCAATGGGAACACTGAGTAAGGAAGTTTGTTTGGAGTTAAGCACAAAGCATCACAATGGGCTATCCGTGCTCTGCCCATCACGAGTATTGAAACCCAGATTCTTGCATTATAAATCTGCAGACATTCTGCTGTGCCACTGGGGGGCAAGGGTAAAGAATAAAGAGACGGGAACAGGCACACCGAAAGCAAGCTGTGCAGGCAATATAACAGTGAAGAGCACGTACAGGACATAGAAGTCTTGGAAGGAAGGGAAATCGGCAAAAAGGAGGAGTTAGCCTCTCGAGCTGCCAAAGTTTAGGAGATGAAAAACGATCCAGATAAAGGAGAATATATGTGGAATGATAAAGAGCACATGAAACATCAATGACATATAAATCTGACCTCTGACATCCACAGGTTAAGAGGAGAAAGAAATAAGTCTTAAGGCAGAGGATAAACAATGAGCACATGGATAGTGGTTCGAACGGAGGCAAGGTGAGGCAGTGAAGGACCACATTAACATCCCAATCCAGATGGACAGCCTGCTGAAGTGGATGATGAATCTGGCAGGAATGCATCAAAAAGAGAAAGAGTAGGAGAGGTAAACACTCTATGGTATTGGGAAAAACAAAAAGTGTGGGACAAGACAGCCCAATAACCAGCCATCAAGGAGACAGAAGAACCCTGATCAAAAAGCGAAGTGAGGAAATCCACAATATGAGGATCAGTGTGTCAAGCGGGTGAAAACCCCTGACCAAAAGACCGACAAACGAAAAACATTCCATTTACATTGATAAACATCCCTGGAAGAATGGCAAATAGAACTAACTAGAAAAGAAGCTATCCATCGGGACAAACTGGATCTCCTCGCCAAGGATCGGATAAAAAATAGGCGTGAAGACGGAGGACAGGAAGAGCTGGATGAAACACTGGTGACCAAGGTTGATGAAGTAAGAGGAAGAGGTAAAGGATGGGTAGTTTGGAGCTGGAGTAGCTGCAGGCTACCACGGTTTAGCCAGCCAGTGACTGGCAATCAAAAGGACTTGACATGGAGTGGCATGGATGATTGAAATCATCCTGTGAAGAAGGCAAATGGGAGGATAAGCATACAGGTATTTGTTGGTCCAATCCTGACTGAAAGCATCTACAGCCAGAGCAAGAAGATGAAGAACCAGAGATCAAAACAGAGGCAATTTGGTGTTGAGGGATGGAGCAAATGCACTTGAAAACAAGAGGATCAAGATACCCCTCTATCGGATAGACTTTGTCTGGATGGGAAAGCTGAATTGCAACAAGATTGAAACCACCTGGAAAAGGACACACAATGATATGAATATCGAGAGTGTGAGCTCAAAAAAGAAGATCCAAAGTATGAAAACATAGGAATTGAGAATGGGTGCTGTCCTGGTGATTGAGATGAGGAACCACTGTAGAATTGTTGGAATGGATCATTACCAAATGATCCTGGCCAGATGGAGAAAATGAACCAAAGCTCGAAATACAGTGAGAAGCTCCGGGATGTTGATTTGATAAGACCTCTCGGCCGCAAACCAATGTCCTGAAGCTTCTTGTTGATCGACCCATGCTCCCCAGCCCTGAAGGGATGCATCCATGAAAATATGTAAATCTAGACGATGAGGAGGAAGCGAGACACCTGCCGATGTGCGAGTCTTGTCCAACCATCAATGCAGATCACCGACAAGAGAAAGAAGAAGGGAAATAGGAACCTTCAAAGGATCCCATGCAAGCTTCCACTGGTCATGAAGAGCCTGCATATGTGCATGACCTAATGGGATAATGGCTGCCATGGAAGACCACATCACCAAAGCGATAGAACCTCGGGAGCTGTAATAGAGGAAGAAGTAAGAGCATGGAAAACTAAAAGCTCTATCAAATGAAGTCGAAGTGGAGAAGATTGAGCCCGAATGAGATGGGTGTTAAAAAAACACCCAAATGGACAAGATATTGATTAGGCAGAAGGAAGGACTTCTCAAATTTGATTAACCAGCCCACATGAGCCACCTCCAGGAGCAGTCAATGAGTGTGATGAGGAGATGGGTGTTAAAAAAACACCCAAATGGACAAGATATTGATTAGGCAGAAGGAAGGACTTCTCAAATTTGATTAACCAGCCCACATGAGCCACCTCCAGGAGCAGTCAATGAGTGTGATGAGTGGACTACTCCTGTTCAGAACAATCTTACAGTAGCCAGTCATCCATGTAATAATGGAAGAGCAACCTTTTAGCATGTAAGTAACAGGCAAACACTTTGATAACCTGACAAAAAACATACAGGGCTGAGGCAAGCCCAAATGGCAGTGTATGAAACTGATAAACCACCCCATGGTAAACGAACCAATAATAGCATCGCGATTTCCAAGATATCAGGATATGCAAGTAAGCATTCGCGACATCCACCTTGATCATACATAAACCCAGAGAAAAAGCCCACCCGAGGGTGAGAAACAACTCCGTAGTAAAGCAGAGTAAAATCATAAAATGATTGAGGTGGGACAAATCTATCACAGGCTGCCAATCTCCAGTTTTCTTGATGACAAACAGCCTGGAATAAAAGGATGGAAAAGATAATGGACAGGTTTGATGACCTGTTGAGAGAGAAGGTCTTGTACCGCTACGGAAAGATGCTAACTGGTAGTAGGATCCCGAAGCATTGGGAAAGAAATAGGTACCTGAGACAAAGGAGGGGAAGAAAGGAACTGTAGGACAAGTCCCTCGGATAAATCCTAAATAACCCACAGATCTGTGGTGAAAGGTTGCCAAAGGGGAACAAATTTGGACAAGTGAGCTCCCACTGGGTAGACACTGGTACTGTTGGCGACATGACCATCAATGTCAAATAAAACGATGAGATGAGGAACCCCTGGAGGGAGGAACAGCTAAAGGCTGAGAAGGACTAGGACCAGAAACAGGAATAGAGGCCGGTCTTGGCTCTGACTGCAACAAACGGGCAAACAAAGAGGAAAGGATAAGAGTGTTGATGCACTGACTCCACACGTGATTCCAAAGTCTCAGGTACATCACCGAAAATATACCGCCAATGCAAAGAGGCCATACATAAATCCCTGAGGTAAGGGGGTGGTAATTGAACCTGGGACAAGGGCACATCTCTACCCAGAAGATTCCAACAACAGAGAAACCATATGTGTAAAGTGAGAGCTGAAGATGACAAATGTGGAAGTAATTAGGGAGGAGCTCTCACTCAAAAACCCTCGGTATCTCTGTAGAGGGGAAGTAAGGGTAAGACAAAGTCAAGAAAACTTGGAATGGGATAAACACACAGGAAAATCAGGGACTGCTCCCCACATGGGTAAAATCGACTCCAACTGCTGAGAGTCAAGAAATGGACAGTCAACCTGATGGTAAGCTAATACAAAGTGATCAGTAGCCAATGCTGGCACCCTCAACCAACTGATAAACAAAATGCTCAACATGAATCCTAATATCCAGGGAATGTGGGAAAACCAAATACTGAGATGAAAAGGTATCGTGCAACAAAGAAGGAAGGGGATCATAAGAAATCAGGGAAATGCGCAAAATATCACGTACCTGAGAAATCATGTCTAAAAACACTGCATTAGGCATAGGAAGACACAACAAAATTTGGTGGTGGAAAAAGGCTATCAAAGTCCTCATTGGCCCGAACAGGTTTGGCTTGTTCAGGAGGAAGTAGGGCAAGTTCAGGAGAAGGAAGTTAAGCCACATAATGATTCATCTCACAGCAGATAAATCCAATGGCAGGCCTCCCCCCACCTGCAGCCGGTGAGATAGAGCTAGTAGGGAGTATGATACCTGAAGTGGTAATGTTATCCTCAGAATTAATAGTTGAAATATAAAATCAAAAAAATTTTTGATGGAAAAAAAAATTCAAGATTGAGAAGAATAAAAAACCGGGAAATTAAGTTAACTGAAATATTATTCAACTATGTAAAGATAAAAAAAAGGAAGAAATTCCACTTCAGAAATTAAACTATTGAAACTCACGATTCGATTACTACGATGAGCACCAAAAAAAAACATCTTTACACAAGTCCTGCCAAACAAGAAGTGATAGTTCAGTAGAACTGAATAGAAGAAGTCACATGCTACAAGAGAGTATGTCGCACTCTTATTGGTGGAGGGTTGTCACATGTAAGATGCATTGAAATCAGTCAATTCCAGCTGGGTGGTAGTTTCAAGGCTTGTGGCATGAGCAAAAAAAATTTTTGCATACTAGGGGCAGTACTGTACGAGAATAGCTATTTATGTGAGAAGAGATAATGTACCATATCAGAAGCTGCGGAACTATATTTTTATAGGCAGAAGTTATTGTGTGTATCCACCTGTACAAACATATTTCCTTTTACTTTCCTTTGGAAATAAAAATTGTGTCCAATTTCTTCAGACAATGTGCCCAGTCTCCTTAATTTTTAATACAGACTTAAAACTCAGTTAAGTTTCCAATTACAGTTACTTCACAAATTTTCTGTTTAACCATACTGTTATTAAGTGGAGTTATTTCATACTCATATGGATATTAATTCATCTCAGAATCAGGTCCAAATATACTAACAAATGAAGTTCAACAAAGCATTGATAGGATCCTTGTACACCTAGTCAGATCGAAATACACTTACTGCTAATTGTTACTTCACACAACAGTGAAAGATGGAACAAATCCCTTCCAAATCCATTGTTTGATCCAAATATGTTGATCACTGAATGCCAACAAAGCATCAAAGGGCTTTCATAGTCAAACAGGGAACAAGGTCTCAATTAGAGAAAAAGAAGCTTTCAAAACAACTAATTAGTCACAAGGAAAATGGGTATATGGAGAACTGTGGGTAAGTGCAAAGAAGGAACTCAGGTTTTATCTCATTCACAAGTGATGGTATAGAATAAGATAATGTAAGTGTCACTGAATTCATCTTTCTGATAAAGACCAAAATAACCAGGAGTTTGGAGCTTAATTTCACTTACTGATAAAAATCCTTCAGACAGGAAATAAAATCCTGTAAAAATTAAGAAATTTCCAATCTATGATGGAAAATTCAGGGCCACTGACAAATCAAAATAAGTAATATTTACAATACTTATGTTGGGAAGAATACAAAAACATTTAAATTCTAAATATATACACTTACTACTAGTTATTGTGAAAGTTTCATCTTCCTTTTTTATCAATTTGATGTCCAACAAAGAATCCTGCTCCTCATCAGGAAAAGATTCAACCTTCATCTTTAATACTTCCATGATTATATAGTAGCTTCACCTTTATATTCTTATCAAACCTTGCAGTTAGACTACAGAGAAATAAGTTATGAATTAGAAGTCACATTCTTCAAAAAGGTTACAAAGTCTTCAATAAATACTAATTTCAAAATTCACATTACCTTAATAACATTCATATCAAATTATAAACTTTCCAATCTTTATACTAAAAGAGTAACATAGTCTAACATAAACTGATTTTGAAACAGTATATATAGTAAGAGACCAAGACAACCTTTACCAATATTTTTATGTAGCTGAAACATGTATGTAATAACTGGGGAATAGGTTTCTACTCTACTGACTTGATATACCTCATATACAAAATTACACTAAAACATGACAACATTGGAACTACTGACATACTTCTAAGCCATTTAGGAGTTGAATTATTGTTACCTTTATTCTCTCCATATTCTCGATAGATTTTCTAAATTCTTTATACTTAAATAATTTCAACAAAATATTTGTATTTACAAGTTACACGAATATGTACAGTGGAATTTCTTCAGCCAAATTTGTGAAATAGAAAATTCTACTATTATTTTATTTTGGTTTTGCTTACAGTACATTTATTTTCCTTCTATTGTTTAGTTCAACCATGAGCTTTTAAGTTCTATTAAACACAATATAAATAAATAATAATATAAGTTATAACTTAAGATGGCGAATTAGAAAATAGGTATGATTTTAATATTTGTACTTACTCGAACATATACAGTGGGTTTTCTTCCCACGTATTAAGAGCTGAATATTATTACTTTAAAAAAAATTAATACCTCCCGTGTTCACATGTACATTTTTGGTCGGATTTTCGGTTTACAATTTTAAATTTAAACTAAGAAACAGACATTTCTCTTCATCCCTCCGGTTGTTTTACTTTTAGAGACATCTATCGAATTCTACTTTCCAAAAGAATATGAAACAAATATAATAAAAAATAATTAACAAGATGGAACGCTTCCGCACATGCCAGTTAACTAAGCAAAGTATTAAGGTAATGAAAGAAATAGAAGATATCCGTTTATTTATAAGGGAACGGAAGACTATGAAAATTATCAAAATCACTTATCATTAATTTTCCAGCCTGGCAGGGCCTGGTGGTTAGACGCTCGACTCTCAGTTTACGGGTTTGAATCTTCGTCAACATGCTCGGTCTTTCTGGGTTGGGGCGTTATGATTTTACGGTCATTCTCACTATTCCTTGTTAAAAGATCGTCCCAAGAGTTTGCGGTGGGTGGTGTTGATTATCTGCTTTCCCTCTAATCTATCACTGCTAAATTAGGAACGGCTGGCGCCAAAAGTCAACGAATAGCTATGCGCGAAATTCGAAACAAACAGATCCATTGAATTTTCGATTTTATGTCAACCTGAGTGACCATTTTGTAATAATAATTCTTATTCTAAACGATTTTTCTCTTATAAATAAACATAGTTTTAAGTAATGACAATTTTTAAATTGAGGAATTATTACAATGAACCAATAATGGTTTTACATAAGTTAATAATAATATATATTTTTGGAAATATTTCAGAGTTTAAATGCAAATTTTTTTTATTTCTATTCTAACAATTTGTAATGCCAAAGAACTACATATAAACTATTTAAATATTACAAACGAAGACTAATTATACCTATATAGAGAGAACAAAGAAGAATATATTATATCTAAATATTTTAAAATATCTTTTGATTTTCTTAAATACAAACTTGAAGAAAATAATTGTAATTCACTGTTGTGCTAGAATACACAGATCTTCAAGTATATTGAACTTCAGCGATACAAGTCCTTTCTTAAATAAAACTAGTTTATTCTTTCTCAATACAACTTTGTAATACACTTAACTTCCACAGTCACTTTTACTTAAACATACGCTATAATTCACAACGATTCACGCATTTTATTTACGACTTAACTCGATTATCTGTCTTCCTATCTCTCTGTCTGCTATCCAATTAATTATCTCGCTTTATTTCGCGCGCTTATATACAAGAATAGAGGACGTCTAGAATGCACTCCCCTCTTCATGAACCTTCTGGACACTAATCACGTGTTACCAGAGTCACGTGACCTCCGCTGTCGTAACAATACTTATTAATTATTTTATGATATAAGAAAAATAGAATACGATGATACATTTCACATTGTCTCTAAATAAGAAAAGAAGAATGATATGTCTTAATGAATTATTTCTAAAACAAAAAGATCTTAATATATAATTGAGTCCATAGGGTTTTTTAGTTAGATGTGTAGAAATTGAGCATCTTTACGATGTTTTGTTACATTTTTAATGAGTTTCTTCCATTTTGGATTACATTTTAATATGTTTTCCAATATTTTTTTTACAACTTTCGGTTGTGTTTTAAAGGGGACTCTCTTGTTTTTATTTTTATGTGGTCCCTCCATAGGGGTAGAATGAAAGTAAAACCAAACGGTGCAGGAACATCATTCCGGAAAGACAAACTTTGGGACTAGGAAGGCAGGACAACTAAAATATTTTGAAGATTGTCGTTTTTGATGTTCAGCTATTTCTTTGATTTTCGTCTATTTTTGGCTATATTAACGTATTGTTTGGTATTTTGAAGCTGCTTTTGATGCTTGTTTGTTTCCTAATATTTCGCTTTTTTTTTAAATTCATTGTCCATACTATATTGTCTAGGTTTTCCAGTTCTTGACTTATGGATTACTAGCAGGATACCCGGCGTTGCCCGGGGACCGAAGCACTCAGTTTGGTGACCATTTGATTAAGAGGAAAATAACTAAAAAAGCTTCATGGTAATTGTGCCTGAATTATAATTCTTTCAGACAAAATATTTATTTTCTTTATAAGAAAGATACACAATTCAAAGAAACTTAACTTCTGTCGAAAATATAGTCAGTTAAGGGCTTCATGATAAACAATGTTCTTAGTTTTTCCACATTGAGCATTTACATAAAGATTTTTTTAGAACTGAAGCGGGCCTGGCGCTGCTCTTCTGATTCCCGCTGCCTGCTACGTGCCTGTCTGGAGGTTTGTGCACTGATGCGAGATTGATGTCTCTTGATCCTTTGTTTCTCGAACTCTACGAGCTTTTGAAGAGCTTCTGCCAATATTTTTTCGTTTCTTTGGTCCCATCTTGAGGTGGAGTTTCGTATAATACTGGTGTACAGCAATGGCACTTATTGAACAATCACTGCTGGAAGTTTAATATCGATTCTGAAACAGAAATTTGAATACAGGCCTTATATAGCTTGAGTTGTTACACTCAAGTAATATGGAGAGATCTCTAGAATCATCTAGAAGTCTTGAAATCAGTAGCTTGAATTGCTACATTCAAGTAGTATGGAGAGATTTCTAGAATATTATAGAAGTCTTGAAATAGTAGCTTGAATTGCTACAGTTGGTATGGAGAGATCTCTAGAATCTTCTAGAAGTTTTGAAATCAGTAGTGACAATAATTTAAATCAGTGGAAGGGAAATTTTATTTGGAGATGACTTTGAACATTCTAGAAACTTATGATGTTCTGAAATTGAGCAAATGGTGATGAATAGCTATTATGCAAAGTGAACATGTTTGGGCAGTTGTAGTATGTTTGAAATTGATTTTCATAGTGTTTTCACCAATTTTCGATGATGAAGAATGTAATTTTCACCAGTTTTTGCCTTATTTTGTCCCCCTGCGACCTCAGATGGCCTCGAAAGTAAAATTCAATATTCATGACATTCTGGATGAAAAGTTAGTCCTAATGAACCTATTTTGACATTTGTAGAGTGGTCCATATGGATTTGTATTGGGAACAAACAAACAGACATACATTCACAAATATATATACTAGACAAGCAGACTCAGAACCATTGCGTGTCTCCCCTCAAGTCTGTGGAGAATTGGAGAAAGGAGAGAAAAAAATGGTTTAGTTTTCCCAAAAGGAGTGTTTTGTGTTTATATTATGCTATGCTCCTCTAGACTAAGATTGGCCAGTGTTTGTAATTGATTATACATTGGAAAATACATAAAATTATAAATATGAACTGTTATCCCAATAAACTTCAAATAAAATATCTTTTGATTTTCTTAAATACAAACTTGAAGAAAATAATTCTAATTCACTGTTGTGCTAGAATACACAGATCTTCAAGTATATTGAACTTCAGCGATACAAGTTCCTTCCCAATAAACTTCAAATAAAATAATAAATCATTTGAAAAAAATATGTTTTCAGCCTTATTGAGATATATCATTCTACTTTCAACTGTAATAGAAAAAAAAATGAATAAAAGCTGGTTTTTAATTCTACCGACAGAAAACATGCATAGACACAAAGTGAACTGGGGAATTTTATATGTAAAATTACAAAAATATTAACATTTACGCAGCTTTAAATTTATCATTGCTTCTAAAATAAAATAAGTTTAAGCAGTTTGAAGAATGCTTCTAAACCCTCCATGAAGAATTACATGCAGAACTTGTCTGTATGGACATGTATGTACGCTCTATAGCCCCCGCTTACCACTAGGAAAATTTTATAATGCTTGAAACCCTGCTCCCCACCACCCTTGTTTCTTGTTCAACATTAACGACTGCTACAAGGCAAAATAATTCATTTTACAGAACATATTATTAAGCGCAAATCTGCCCGATAGGTTATCTGTGCTATGCCCACGGTGGTTATCGAAACCTGGTTGTTAGCGTTATAAGTCTTTAGGCTTACCGCTGAGCCACTGTTGAGAGGGGAAAAAAAAACTAAACGTCGCAGGAATTTAGTTTGACAGAAGAGAAAACAACTTGATAGTTGCTTGCTCTTCCCAACTGGGGGCCCCAGTAGCACAGCGGTATGTCTGCGGACTTACAATGCTAGAATCCGGGTTTCGATACCCCGTGGTGGGCAGAGCACAGGTAGCCCATTGTGTAGCTTTGTGTTAATTACAAACATAACATAACCCAACTGGGGTGCTCGGGAACGGTTATTCCCCTTCAACCCTGCGCGTGAGAATAGTTTGCAACATTGGCTATAATCGCGATTAGAAACATCGACGGGAAGTTATTGAGAGAAAGCTGTGAAAAAAGGTCGGCAAGATGAAAGTCTTTTCCAGTAATGTAGACGAGGCGAGACAAAGATATCCAGACATGCATTTGGAGTATTAAGTTTAAATCATATGAATTTAGGAATTAATTTAATTTTAAATGGACTTTATTGAAAAGGATTTTATAGAAATAATTTGAACTGAATAGAAATTGAAATATAAATCTATCTGTTCTATGTCCTGGCTGGAAAAAGAGAACATAATGGTTAGTAATGACAACATGACATAGTGTTCAACCCTTTATGTGTGTGTGTTTTATTCTTTGTTTTTCTGTTCGCAGAACAGATTGTATGGTGAAGTGTGTTTGGTGGGAGCACTTAAATTTTATGAAGTGCAGCTGTCAATTTATTTCTTTTATTCTGCTTTTTATAATATTTGAAAGCCAGTTCTGTTAGTCTATTTTTTAAAGTGGACAGGCTGCTGATTTTATGTATGTAATTTTCTGGGGTTAATTTTGGAAGCCTTAGGACTAATCTTAATGGTCTATTTGTTGTACTTGTAGTTTTTTAAAGATTATTTTCTGACATATTACAGGTTATCTAACAGCCTTATTCTATAAGTGGGCATACAAACGTTTTGTATATTTTTAGGGATGTTGTGGGTGTGCAGTTTTTGTGCTTACCAGCAATTAACCTTATGTAGTTGATACTTTTGCTAATCGAAGCATGTATGTTCTGAATAAGTTTGTTCCATGTTAGATGGGTGTCAAAGGTGACTCCGAGGAATCTCATGTTGTTGCTCATTTTTATTTCTGTTTCATAACTTAAGTTTGCTTTTCTTAAGAGTTTTCATATGTTTGCGTAGTTTTTAAAAAAGTTATTGCTTGTGTTTTTGTTGGATTTAGTATCACTTGCCATTTGTTACACCATTTAAGAATTAAATTCAGCGACTTTTTGGACGCGGGTCATTGCAATGAATAGGTTTATAGATATTGTTAAGACAGCGGAAGTCACGTGACGCTGCTGGCGCGTTTGGCGCTGGTAGCGTATGTGAAATTTCTTGAATGATTATGAATGATCTCGGAGGCCCGAGTGCATTCGGGACACCCCCTTTGTTAGTATATAAGCAGAGAGGCCAGCGATATATAGATAATTAAAGAAACGAACAGTAGTAACGGTAAGTAAAGTGTATGAATCACTGTGATTTATACGTTTATCATAAAAGTTGTTGGCATGGCCAGGTGATTAGGGCGCTCGACTCGCAATCTGCAGGTTACGAATCCCCCATCATACCAAACATGCT